TCTCTTCTAATTTATCGGCTAGTTTCTTAACAAATTTGAGTTTTTCTTCCATTTAGCTTTTAGTGCGCAATAAAAGCGCTTTTATTTCCAACTCACCAATATGTCAATGCCGAAGCAATCGGTGTGTGTTCAATAAATTCAAACGTTCCTGTTACTAGTGAGCAAGTCCTTCGAGTGTTTATAGTGTAAAATACCTCCATTTAGATTATAGCATGTTATAATTTCGCAAAAGGCCTATTGTTGTGCAACGCTGGTTTTGACAAATGGCCTATACAGTCTGACCCCAAGTTTTGGGATGGTTGCTGATGCGGTCAACAAGACTTGTAATTCTTCAAGGAGGGGTTTGTCGAACTTTATTCAAGTGCATTATCCTAAAAGAGATCACGACCGCAAAAATGCATTGTAATTGCATGGTAATTATACCTATTTATTCTAATTTGGTTGCCAACAATGTGTAGCCCGCTTCTATTCAAACTCTAGTCCCTTTCCCACCTTTCCATTAAATACTGGTGTCAGTAGTAGCTGTTATATTATTATGTATTGATTCAATAGGAATTACTCCTCTGCGTCAACACCCAGCAGTTCCAGTGGAAGATGTAAGGTGGCTGCATTCATTCATACTAGCCAGACTGAACCAATTCCATTTGAAGATGCCATACTGATACTTAGAAGGAAACTGTTTCCCTTCATGCATAATCCACATCCATGGGTTGAATGTAAATTACCTAATTCCACTGTCATGAAAAAAAATTGCTCAGCAAGATGTGGTAATTTCATATTTTTTAATATCCAAAGATGAGATTGATTTCACTGTTGGCTTACTACTATTCTTGCTCACCCATGGAGCCAATCCCTAGAAGAACACATGCATGTAAGTCCCAGCGATAAAGCCAAATGCTTCCCTCTCCTTATTAATCTTTTTAATTTAAAATTTCTTATGTATAGACAGACCAAAAACAACCAGTGATGTACTGAGATCAATAATGGCCATTTAGTTTTACCGCTAAAAAGTGGAGGATCTCAAATGTCATGACACTGATCCTGCAAATTTCTCTGAATACCTCTATCAACCTGAGAAGGATGCCAATGCAGAGAAGATTCACCACCGTGAAGATCAAAATCATCTACTTAAACGTATAATATCCCACCTCCATGAGGGCTAAATTCCAGGACTGGATTTACGGTTCCTCAGAGATGCTCTTCATGACCCATCTACTGGCTTGACATATGAGGCACTTACTGGCAAAAACAAGCAGTCGGTGCCAGACTGTGAGCACCTAATTAATCCTGGAGTTATTTCATTTCTGGAACAGAAAGGCCATAAAAGTGGGGCCCGTGTCATTAAGAGAATTTACAACTGGCACAAAGCAGTTGATGGAAGGGGACTTCCAGAGAATCAACGGTCTCTAAACTGCAGAGAAATGAAGGAGTGGCTGTTAATAGATTGGATGCCCTGGTTCAAATTCCAGCCAGATTACATCAGTATTGACGTAAACAGGTAATTTCCCTTTGTTTTTTTATGGTACTGTTTTGTTTAAATGCATAGTGATATTATGGTGTCCAGGGTTAAACAGTAACAAAATCTTCTTCGGAGATAATTTCACTCATTCTCAATGCAGTGCAATGAAAATGGTTATTAACATTTCTAACAAGCTACCAAACAAAGCACTATATATGGAGGGCACTTGTGGGTCTCGGTAAACTCCTTATTTATTGGAATGCAATTTATTGGACTTTGAGTTGGAAGAAATAAATGTGTGACTGTCTATGATACTTTATGTTTTAACACAGAATTTCTGGGTTTTGAGACATACAAACTCCTTTTCTACCTCAGAATAAACATTTTCCAGATCTTTCCATTTTATCTTATTCTGATTGTCAAGCGATGATATATTTCCAATTTCATACAAGAACTGGACAGTCTTGCTAAGTAAATTGACGTGCAACAGCAGTTCATTTAGCAAGTTCTCACAGTCGTCTCCTCCACTTTCATGGTGAATGCCTCCATTTATTTCCCTGGATTCTCCAACACATTTCAAAAATTTCTCTAGCCCATCAGCCATTTTAGAGTTGCTTGTTCGGATTGATGGAGCTTATTTCCTTCCCAGCAAACTGACAGCAAAATCAAGAAAGTCTAAGGAATCAAAACTTATCGAAGTCATTCTGATATCCCGCCAAACGTAACGGCCACTGATGATGAACATGTGACACTCACGTGACCTTGGTCAACCTCGCCCCAGGAAGTTTAAATATAATTTCGCAGTTTAAATCAAATACAAATAATAATTCGTAACTTTACATAAGTTCTAAAAAGTTTAAATTTAGATGACTGAAAAGGATTAAATCAAACCTAAGCAACTGAAAGAAATATTGCAACAAGATTAAAAGCACACTTTAAATGTTAAAATTAAATGGGAAACTAGATTTAATAAAAAATTTAAACTAGTATTGAACAGTTTAAATAAAAATTTGTTTTAAATTTAAGTACATGTTGGATATGAAGTTTAAATTTAAAAGAAAATAAGTTTAAATCAAATATAAATATAAAAGGATTAAATATTGCTACATATGGGCAGGCATAGAGAGATTGAGACGGAAGAGATTTCATAGCGATTAGAAAACCAAACAATGCATATCGTTATCAGCTCATCGTAAATATTGTATTCATGACATGCAGAAAAATAAGGTTTTAAGGTATTTTTTGATTCAGATATGAAAGAGCATTCTCATTCTCATTAGTATGTATCTATCTTTTACGCTTTTCCTTTTTGTGCATGTATTATAATTATTTCCGATATGGTTATGATCTTCCTATAAGTTCTTTTATTTAGATTTGTATATATTTTTAACATGTGTTTCATATTTACAGTGCTGATTAAAAGCTTATACCAACTGTTCCCTCTGGGTTCAGGTGATTTGTTTAATCAGGGTAAATAAAGATTAATTTTATCATTTTTGGTCCCGTGTGTGTCAACTTGGGCTTTATTTTTTGTGGCCCATTCCTCCAAACGAATGCATAAAATAGAATTTTAAAGCCTCAAAATATCTATTCGATATCCATTGAAATTTGGTGCCCAGCTTAAGTTTGGTGGAGGAAATGGATGCAAGAATGAGAGCCACCAAAGTGAACTGGGTGTTCAACAGGAAGATGTATAGACTGTGGCGTGTAACTAGTCACTGATGATTAAAATAAATTACAACTATTCTCCGGAACTTTATCACTGATTTAAATAAAAGTTGTCTCGAAAATCAATCTTGTGTCTGTCGCATATGGTTTACAAATAAGCTTTAAGTTTTAGTGCTCTGGCTAATGCACTTTAAGCTAAGAAATCAACTGATCATTGAAGGGTATGTCATGAGTTATTGGAAGGAGATGGCAGAGTCAAAGCTCTCACCGTTTTATTGAATAATCAAAACAAATCTTGTAGATGTAGCCATGGGCATAGAGTCCTCGATTTGATGAACCAAATGCTAAACAATTAATTATCTGATCACAAGAGGGCAATTTCCCACACTGCTGATTCCCATATTTGTGAGATAAAAAAGTTAAAGTTCAAAAAGCTACCTCGGCTTGGATGGAAAGCCAACAAAGATCAACATTGATTTGCCTCTAGGCTTATTGATCAGCTGAATTGAGAAAAATCTTTGTGCTGGGCTCATAACTTGGATAAGGTCAAAGAATTGCTTGAGAAAGGAGATAACTTATGTGCTGTTTTTAATGCTGTTTATTATGACGTTCAGCTCTCTCTAATTTTTTAGTATAACAGGTGAGCCTCTACTATGGTTACAATCTTACATGAACCTGTCTGATCTTATGTGGTATGTTTCTATTAATGGTGGTACCTCTGTGAAACATCCTCTTAGATGTGGAGTTTATCAAGTATGTGCTTTAGTAACCATTTAACATCTTCTTTACCCGTCACCGCTTTCAGACATTAAAAGGAAATTCAATTCAAGCTATCATTTCTATGCTGATGTCTCACACCTCTATTTGTTCATCCAGCCAATTATACCTGGTGATAGAGATCTACCTGTGTCTGACATGGAGAGCTGTGTCAATGAAAGTAATCACTGGATGCTGGTTAATTACCCTAGATCTAAATAGAGACAAGACTGAACTATTGACAATCTCCACCAAGTATGTTTTAAGACCACTTCTTTGAGATATCTCAGTTGTGAAGAAACCATTCACTCCTCGCAGAAAACGAGGAATATTGGTGTACTACTTGATAGTCACTTTTGTTCCAATGAACATGTTGCTAATATTTGAAAATATTTGTTTATCATCTCTGAAACATCAACTGCATCATGAAGCTCCTAACGCTGTCCATCACTGAACTACAAGTTCATGCATTTAAGTCTCCAAAGTTGGCTCACTGTAATGCTTTACTTTATGGCCTACCTCACAGCACATCCAAACTGCCGCTACTTGACTCATCACCCTTACAAGAAAGAATGATCATATTGTACCCATCGACTTCCAGTGAATCTTTGCATAATTTTATAATTTGAGTCATAACCCATAAGGCACTCAACAACTTGGCACCATTGAACATATGGGATATGCTTACACCCTACACCCCATTGGGTTAATTACATTAATCAGTTAGAAATCTTTTTATTCTGTCACACAACTTAAAAACATATGGTGCTAGATGCTTCTCTGTGGCAGCCTTAACAATGTAGAATGCTTTGCCATATGACATTAAAAATAGTTTGGCGTTGCCCATTTTTAGAAAAAGATTTAAAAAGAAACCTTTTGATATTACTTTTAGACTGATTCTAATTCTGAGTTTTTAAGATTTTCACTGGTGTTGTATCATATAAAACCTTTTAGTATCATTAGTATTATTATGGCAGCAGAATAACCTTGATTACCTTACATCGCCAGTCTTTCCTTTAGTCATTTACCAGTCACTAATTGTTAATTTTGCAAAAACATGCAGAGAATTGCTATTTTTGCCGGGTTAGAGTTGTTTTCATAAAGTTTTATCGTAAATATTTGTTGAGAAGACAAGATTTAAAGCCCACCAGCAAACATGTCTCATCACGAGCATTGGAACGTAAGTTTACTATATAAGCAATTTAAAACTAGAGGACACCACTGCAACCAAGATTTATTGTCCATAACAGATAATAAGGCCCCAATCACGCAATTTTGAAATTAAAGCCTTTTTCGTTTTTTTCAGGGACTGCCAAAAAGTATCATGAGCACTTACGGAGGACTGCCCTTGGAAAAATA